TTACCATATTGTTTATATAGTCTTTAATTGCCACATATACCCATCTAAATAAATTGTCATTTTTTTTCTCTTGATAGATTCTTATTAAGGTGCTGATGTTGTAAATCATTTAAAAGGAAACCATAATGCATTTTTGGAGGGTACAAATTTGAAGCTTTTATTATAATGTTTCATTATAGTGGACCTTTACCCTCTTTGACTAAAAATCACCTCAGCATGCACCTCTGCATGCTGATATGAAATCATCTTACATTCGTTAGTTAAACAAACATATTTTTATTTTAATTACAATATCTTTTTTATACTTCCTGGTCCACTTTGGCGCAAACGATGTAATCGCGCCCAAGCGTTGCATCGTGGGAAGGTTACATTAGCAGAGCATTGCTGGGAAATCTCATCTGTAATCTTACGAGATCTCAGGGAAAGGCATTTTCCTCCCCTGAGTTGATGTGCATGGTCACATGTCCTAGTCACATGTGACAGAGTCCCAGGAAGTAAAGGGAGATGGATTAATCTGCCCTTTGTTAAAATGACCACTGTGAGAAGAATGGAGAGGAAAAGAAAAATAATGTATGCAAATAATTAAAAGACGGTAATTATTTATAAGTATCTGCTTGTAGATTGCCATTACTAAACATTTCTAAAGGTGTGTTTGTTGTCATTTTGAAGATATGGCTAAAATTTCCCTTTTAAGGTAAATTTGTGATGTACCATTACATAGAATCTACGGCTCTTGGCTTTCTGTATCTCACCACAATTACTCAGCTGCCTTGACAAACAACTACTAAGGTAAAGTCACAACCACTTAGCCAGTACATTGTTTTTAAGTAGCAGACTTCCACAGAGACAGAGGAACAACCACTAATAAGCAGAACATACTGTAAAGCCTGCATTTGATGAAGAAACGCGGCTGCCCCCATGAGCATGCATTATTTTTTGTTTAGGTTTAGCTGGACATTTTCACTTCTAATAAACAAAAGAAGAATCTATTTAAATTAGAACTCCATTATTTTCACTCCTCTTCTGTCTCCACAGCACCCACCTTGCACACGCCAGTTCTTTAAAAAATCACTTAATCCATACCTTTTTTTTCCTGGAGTGTTCTGGATGGCCACACGACATCTTTGGATATTCTTCACCTTCTTTCTGAGATGGGTGGTCTTCAGTGGTGCAGTATTGTCTTGAAAGTCAGTTTTGACATGATGCACCTCCGTTTAGGTTTCCATTGCAGCCTGGGCTCAAGGCCTCATAGGAAGTAGTGTAGAAGAGGGTAAGTGCTACAGTGGAGTTATTTTGGAGACAGTGCTGGAGACAAGGAAGAAATTGCAATGTCAGCTTTTTTTTTATTATACCAAATGTATTTTACCAATCTAGAGATCTGCTTTACGAACACTTAATGCAACTTAATTTGTTCATTTGTGAGTTCATGCTTGCTGAATACTCGTTATAAACAGTCATTAATGAATCCAGATACTTTCACACATTGGTCTACAGCGTAAACAGACTACATAGTATATTAACATGGGGTTCTGCACATAGATTTTGTATTCTCCTCATGGAATTGATACCTGTAATAAATATCTTTCTATTGCAGGGATGGAACACCTGCTCTGTGCAGAGCAGGTGTGAAATGGTTTATATTGTCCTGTTTACTATTTATAGGACATAAAAAACCTAAATGAGTAGATCACTAGCCTTTTGAAACCTGGACCGGGAAAAACAGTTGTGGATTTACAGTGCATTATCTTTATATTTTTTGGTCTACAATTCAATGTCAGTATTTTATTATTTCCAGTTGAAAAAATATAATGCACAAATCTCCTTACAAATTGTTGTATTTTGTACCATGTGCTTACATTGTATAGAGAACATTTGGTTGCTTTGTACAGCATGAAGGATATACGTATTTTGTAACCTAAATAATAGAAATTACTGAAAGTTCAAAGTAAATGGCTTATATTCAGCAAACACAAGACTTCGGCTCAGCACCTGTATAGTAAGTCCCACCTCAGGGTTAGAGTCCCTGCCTCAGGGTTAGAGTCCCTGCCTGCACACAGAGGGTTCCAGTATGGACGCAGGTGTCTCGGCAGACTTCTTAACCCAGTGAACCTGTGTTTGCTTTAAACAGCCATTTATGTGAAATAATTCTTAATAATTTTTAATACATAAAAGATATCTGAAGCGTTATAAATATTTCTCAATGTCCACATGCTTAATCCCCCTAAGGCTGCTATAGTTAATTGTTGAAAAAAACATAGTAAAAAAAGTATTCACAATAAAGTTAGAAGAAGAAAGGAATTTGTTTCTCAGGCCTCGTTCACACAGGTAACAAAGTAAGCAAATACTGAATCTCTGTAAAGAATCCATGGTGGATTGCTTTTCATAGGTGGTTGAGTGTAGGTTTGCAGGTGTTCAGGAGCCAATGGTGCCTGTTTTTTTTTTTATCCCAAGGGGCATTTGAAATACCATGCTGCAAGTGCATGGTAAGCATTTGGCACACAGTTGTAGCTCGGTTCCATTGACTCTTACGGGCGTACAGTTGCAAGTAGGGATCTTCAGATACCAAGTACCATACCAAGTACCATACTTAGTACAAGTAGATATACTTTTTCAGCTCCAAAACTAGACTAGAGAAGAATTAAAAAGTTAGGAGGCAGCTATCATTTTTAAGGAGCGGCTTCAGTGGAGTGTTGAGGGTGATAGCTGGACTATAAGGGGTCGAGGAGGTTGTTATAAGTGAGATGGCAGCTCAGGGGGTTGTAGATAAGGCGTATTAATGTTATTAATCAAGCACTCAATATATCCCAAACAGTCCAACGCCAATTTTGTAACGCCACTTAGCTGCCAGGCACTTTGTTCCCAAGCCCTGTGTGAGCAAGCCTCCAAGAATGATAGTGGGTATTTCTGAGGAGATATGTAGGGTAGCCAGGCAGAGAAGTCATCAAGAAAGCGAGATACCGGTCCAGCAGGCGGATATATTAAAGCAATCCTCAGAGAAATTGGAGAAAATAGGTAAATACAGTGGGTTTTAAAAGAGGGGAGGGATAGAGAAGGAAGTGAAGGCAGAACTTGAAAGGTGCATTGTGGGTCCACTGGGCCTGGGTGAGTGTGTCCAGTGGAGGCCACCATGGGAGGGGGCAGTAGAGGAGGCAGAGTCGGATTCCTGAAGCTATGTTTCAATAACAATAGCATGTTAAAGGAATTGGAGATAAGCAGATCATGCACAGAGGTGAGTTTGTTACAGACAGTGTGGGCATTCCAGATGGCACATCGGAGGTGAGGAGTTGCTCTAGGAAGCAGGGGATTAAAAAATTAGGGTGCGTGGATTGCGGCTGCTGCCAGAGAAAAGCCAGTGCTGGTTTGAAGGGTGAATATTAGAAAACAGAGAGCCAGGATTGGGAGCGATAGCCCCCGGAGACAAGAGAAGCAGAAGGGTGAATTAAGTAAGAAGATAGCAAATTTTATATGCGCGTACATGCCCCAGTGTCCTGGTGGTAATCCTAGCATGTGGGTTCAGAATGAGCAGGAGGTGATGATTGGAGTAGTAGGGAGAGAGCAGGTGAGGGAGTGAAATATCTAATCTGTGGGGTGGAGAGGGAAGCGGGGGGTAAAGGAAAGAAAGTTTAATAAGAGAAGACACAATTGTGAGAAGCAGTGGTAGAGAACCCATGTTAGCGGAGGAAAGTAGAAATCAGATTTGAAACCAAGAGATGTGGATGGGGTAAACAGGATTACCTGCAGTCTGTCAGGAGCACTGCTGCTATATATTTTGCCTTTTTTTAAAGTGCGTTATCCACGCTTAATTTAATATAGACATTGCAAAAGTGCCTATGCCCCCTGGCAACTTTGATGTATCTCGGGTTGCACTCTCCTATACCTCCATGATTTCATGAATAATGTTCGCAAAGATGTTGGTTGTACTTCCACTAAAGCCTTGGCATGGAAACTTACTGAAAACAATGGAACTGATTGAACCATGTCTATCCACCTACAAATGCACATTGATTTCTCCATGTTTTATATCTTTAAAAATGCTTCAAGTGCATATACATACCTGTTAAGCTGCCACAAATCCAGTGAGCACTTTTCTTCCTGACAACACTTGACTTCACTGTGCTGAAATTCAAAACAGCCTTGTCAACCCTGTCTGAGTTTTTCCCTTCTGGTCTACCGAACCAGGTACTGATATCATACTAGATGCGTGATATTTCTCCTGCTGACTGTTAATTGTTCAACAGCCAGTGGTGTTAGTGCTTAGATGGTGTATGCATGCATACATACATTTCCCAGAAAATCAGTACTGCTACCTTGACTCCCTGAAGCCTGCCCACACACTGTGTGTAGGGCAAGGGTTTTTGGGAGATGTAGTTCTGGGGGAAGGGGGGTTAAGGGTGAGCCTTCATCAATAGGAACTGACGCAGGCCACCCTGCTGACACCTCCTTCCAGCAGCTGCCCCTAGGAAACTGGTGATGAGGTCTTATTGGATAATTAAAGCTGTTTTTAGCCAAATGAACAGAATGATAGAAAATGCTGGTGCATGCTTCAGAGGCGGGAAGGCAGATTTGTTTGCATATGTGGGTCATGCCTGGAAATGAGCTTTAAGAAATTGCCATTGGAATACTAAATAGTGTACTATAGTTACAGTTTAGAAGAAGCTTACACTTTATTTAATGTAACAGAGAGGGAATTTAAACTTCAGATATAAGCACAATGATTAGTACTGTTTATGTTTAATAAATTAGATGGGAGTGCCTCTCATTCATGCTTACTTAATCACTTTTAAAAAATGGTTGATTATTTGTTATCAGTACCCTTCAAACTAATTTGTAACTATTTTTAATATTTGAGGCTTGTGTATGGATGCAAGGGTTCATTTAACATAGCAGCTGATATTTCAGGAAGGAATATATAGGAAACAGGAAATACCATGCTGATGTATATTTTAATAAGATTTGATGTCATGATGATTCGTGTTGATATTGTTATCATTTTATTTCAGGCTGTAATTCAATGGTCTGATATGGTTAGTCTGAAATCCAGGATGCCAAATTATGGCCTACCTAGATACCAGTGGTTGACTAATGCTTGGAATTTCTTTCAAAGAGAGGTAAGTAGAAGAGCATTATTAATTGTTTGTTTGTGTGCCTTTCCCTGTCATGTTTTTCTTAATGATCATCCTTCTCCTGCTGTGACTCACCTCCTGGGAGCAGAAATCTCCTAAAGAAGCCTGTGTCTCTTTGCCTGCATTTCTGTCAATTAATGGTGCCTTTGTGTGTATGGTGTGCTTTGTCTGACCTGTACCAAGGGATTGTAGCTACAAAAAGAGTACACATATTTTGTACTTAGCAAGAATGTAATGAGGTATATTGTTTGTCAATAAAATGTCCACCACATGTGCTCAGATATATCAGCTTCTTTTTCTTAAGATGCACATTTTAATCTAGACACATATAAAGAGAGACATGGATACACACAAATACTAATGTTTAAAGAGGAACTCTAGTAGTAAAACAGGATACTGCTTCAAAATAAAGAGAATTGCATAGTAGAGTAGACAATCTGGATTGAGAAAGCAACTAATATATTCTCCATCGTCTTGCTCTGAATAAGTTTATTCTTCAACATGCTGAGGAGAGAGACTGCAAAAAGGTCCTACCTTTCTACATTTTTCCACCAGCAGTGAGCTGATAGAAGCAAAGAATCACCAGAAACCACTGTTTGATTCAGAGAAAGACATACAATCCATGGGCTTACACTGTCCGATCCCACCCTGTGCAGAGATTTCCCTGCTCCGAGACACCAATATAAGTACTAGCAGACTGAGGGTACTCATCACTGGAGCAGATTAACTGAGCTGAAAAAAACATTTACACATACACACATGGTAGCCACCACACTGTGTTTTAATGGTGCCACGCCCAGACCAAAATGTAACAGTTTACACTATAGAAGCCTCATAAAGAGGCAAAGTTCTGCAATGTGTATTTAGAGCATTCATAATCTAATTTGCATAATCGGAGTCTAGGAGGTGTTATTAACACCATTGTATGTGGCCATAATGATGTAGGGGGAGATTTTATAATGGCAACTCGATTACTGTAGGAGTTATGAAATATGGATTAGAGTGGAGAGCTTGAGAAGTATTAAGTTTTTGCTCACAAATCAGAGTCACGGATGTCTATTGCTTAACCTCTCTCTTAAGCTGGCCATACACTGTTCTATTTTTTTGTTCAACCCACCATCAGATGATTTGTTTGAAAATTTTAAGAGCGGCTCCTTTGTTCAGCTGATCAAAAGGGTGCCCTTAGCAGCACCCACTGTGCGAATTTCGGTGCATCAAGACCTGGTTGAAATTTGCATAGTGCATGCCCACCTTTAGACTGTTTCCAACCTCATTAGAGGGATTTTGAAGACCTTGCTAGTGTAGGTTTATGACATCTCTTCATTCTTTCCTAATTGGCCTGTATTATATCAAATGTGTCTTAGGATTGTTTTAGCATGGCTGCTAAAGTACAGATATGAGATTTATCCCAAAAAAGGCACATCCAATGGCCACTGAGACTTCAAATGTATTCATACAGAGCAGTAAAGGGAAAGAACAGTCATTCAAAGAGCTCACTTTCGTTTGGTTTGGCAGCTCCCGCGGAACACTAGTGCCTATAATGCTGGCACTACTGGCTACTGGCTGATCTAGTAATCACAAACCTCACAGATTAATATATAAAAGCTGGATCTTAGTCTATTCTAGTTATAACTGAACCTAAGCCACTAGGGTTTTTGGGGTTTTCGACCCCCGAAACATGTTATGAACCCCAAACTGTTTTTGTATGTAAACCAATAAAGTGATTTGGACTTATACCATTTGGTCTGGCACTCTCTCTCTCTGCTTTTGTGCTTTGATGAGATTTAAATCTGACCATTTCTGTTGGAGAAAATTAGGTTGGCCTGCTGTTCAGTATGACTTCCCCATTCTCTCCACATAGTTTGGGGTTTGTCATACCTCACTATTACTACCTCACAGTAATGTGACAAATTACAACAAAGGTACATATAAAGTGATAATTGTGGGTTAATATATTAGGATACAACATCCACATATATCATAGAATTTGTTTTAGAACTTAAATTTGATTGCGTTGTGGTATTCAAAAATCTGCTTTTCTATATATTTGGATTATAAGGTACAAATAGCTGCGCATAGTTAGCTAGCTAAAATTATATTAATTAGAGGTGATTTTTAATTTTATAATAGTTAAGATAGCATTTACAGTACGTATGGGTTTTTTAACCTCATAAACATAGCAGGAAAACCGAAAGCTCTGGATCGTCTCCCATTAAACCAGAAAAAGTTACAAAATAGCTATCCATGTTTAAATATAACTCTTGAAAAGTCCCTGTTTTGAGTTTTAATTTCTCAGGGAAATTAACACTATTAGTACATTTCATCCCTACTGCCTTATTGAATAATTCACTGCAATCTCAGCAGTGTATTTGAAAAGCTACGAGAAATTGCATAGAAACATGTACGTACTGTCTAGAGCTTCCAAAGACAGTGCGTTTTTGCGGTTTACATATCCGCTGTTTTTAGGCAAGGAAGTGCACAAGGGAAAGATGTCAAAATGCAAATATATGCCCAAATACCGGAAACAAAAAAACTATACTGTGTCTATCATTCTTCTGGCCCTGTCATGGTGTTAAAGAAATCCATTGTTTCGCAGATTTCCTGTTAATTTAAGCATTTCCTGCTTCTTCATTGATTTGTCAGCTTTAGTGTAACATGCTGAAATAAATCACACTGTACCTGTTAATGTTTCTTCTTTTTTTGTTTTAACTTTATCATTGGTATAACACATGCATTATAATATTCGTCTTATCTGCTGTATTTATTTTTGGAAATATGTAGGCTTTTTTTTTTAATGAAAATGCAATGTATTGCTGTGTGGTGAGAGCCTATAGTTCAAATGTATAGTCTATTCACTACCTTGAATGGTAGGCAGGGCACATGCCCTGGGTGCCACTGGAGGGGGGGCACTTTGCCACTCAGGGACAGAGTTGTTGTTTGCCCCTTTAGTTAGGCTGTCACTGCAGTTAGTCATGGTTCTACACTGATGGAGGTCTGGATAGGGCCATGATAATTCTATTAACATACAGATATATCTCTGTTGGTACACTTCATTTGGCATGCTGTATGTTCCCTATTCTGCACAGCTTAATTCTGTCTACCATGCTTGTGAATAGAGCCTAAAGCTGAACTATAAATATAAAAGATGAAAAATAATATAGCTAGTTTAAATATTGCAATCCCCTATACAGCAGCACAGAACTGGGAGGAGGAGGGGCAAGACTGGTAACCAATCAGATCAGCTGCATGCAAATGTGCTGACAGAAAGAAGTCCCAACCAGTCTACTGTTACTCCTTTGCTATCTAGTCATCGAGCTGAGGGTGAAGAAAGGACATAACTATAGGCCCTCTAAAATCTTTAACCATGACAGGGAAAATGGCATCATTGGTTTGGCCATGTTGTGTGGCAGGGCAGTGTAAATTCCACAACTGGATAAACAGAAATACAAATACTCTGGAAGCTCCCATGGACAGTAGGTATTTAATCTGTGTATTTTGCTGTTTGCTTGGAATTTAATCCTAGTCCCACAAGCAGCACATGCTCACTGTCCCTTTGCACCCCTTTTTTCTCTATTTGGGTACTAGTAGTGAAGAGCAGATCCATGCCTAAACCCTGATTGTAATTTGGAGCTTACACAAAGGTTTAGAACTCCCCACCCCTACATACTGGGGGCCAGTGTAGCCAATCACCATACACCAGTGCAGTTATGTGAGCAAACGGGGAATGAGTACTCCTCCAGACACAGAAGTACCCAGTATTTTTCTTCCTTGCATTAGCTGAAAGTAAAATGTGTTGCTTTTCACTAGATGGTTAAAGCATTGGTTTAGTTTAACACATGCTTTTTACGAAGAGTAATTGTTTACTGTAAATAAATTGTATTGAGATGGACACTAATAGATTAACGTCTAATGCAGAAACTGGTACAGGTGTTTGATAGGCAGTTTTCACTGAACCTGAACCATAAACACTGAAATGCTTGCCTTTTTTGGAAGGCAGTTTTTTTATTGTTAGTTAGTTAATTATGCTATTAAAAACTCTTTGTGTTCAACATGTTGATAATTGGTTGCAGAAACCACAAGCAGTTTGGTGACAGGCTTATTTACTGATCTGTCATTGGCACAAAAACTAATGAAATAAGAAAGGCTGTCAGCTGGTTTAGAGGTTTCAGTAAAAAAAAAAATGTTTTAAGGGAGTCTTCATCAACCCAGTATAGTGACACCCATGGGTCGTTCCAACAGTGCTTCTGAGCACTACAACAAAACAATCTTAAAGTGTATTTCCACGTTTGCAGTCAAATTTGAGAAATACACACTATATGTTAATTATGTCTTCCTATTCACAAAGCATATCTAAAAATAATTTAAAAACAAATATTTCCTACTTCTTTATATGTTTCATTGGAGCGAACATTTCATCAGACTGCAATTTACTTTGTACATTTTATAAGTTCAAGTTTGAACAGACTTTTAATTTCACTTATTAGCATACAATGTAGAATACAAGCTCTGATGTCTTCAACCCTTTGTTAAGACAGACAGTGTTCAAATCTAGTTTACAACTGCTAATGAGATCTGCCAGCACAGTGCAGACAGGGCTAATTATGGTAAACATTAACACCTCATCCCCCTCCTTAATTTTGCATAGCTGGCGAAAACCCCCATTTTGGAGTTTTCAGAACATTTTAAATAATTATGCTATGTGAATCAGAACATGTAGCAAATATAAAGTAGGACTCACCCCAATTTGGCCGCAAACATGGAAATACTCTTTAAATCTCGAAAAACAATACATTTTTTTCTCCGTGGCTTACGCTTCTGTTGATGAACTTGCAGTCTGAATCATTGTAATAAAAAACAAAGAAAGAAAATGACTTTTGTTTTATGGTAAGCATAATTAAAAATATGAGTATAAATTGTTTGTGTATTTTTCTATAGTGGGAAATGCATATTATCTAGCAAAACACTGTTAGATGAGTGACTGCCTT